CGGGTGATGTAGTCATACCCTTAAGAAATATATGATGGCTGCCTCCCCCCAAACCAGAGTAAGCAGGACACTGAGTCTATAAAAATGGCCTTGTTTAGATTCCACAATGTGCCAGTCCCTCTCCAGATCACCATCTCTTCCTCCAAATGATGCTTAAGAATAGGCTATGCTGATGATGTTTCATCAATTATAGAACTACTTTGATTAACATTTTATTAAATTTCTTAGAGGTCACTTTTACATTGTGATGATCTTTACTCGTGTTTTGGACCTTGAGGTTTAACTCATGTACTGTATATATTCAAGCAACCAAAAATACACCCTACCAAAACAAGACTCCCCACTCCACATGCTTTTCTTTCTGCGGTGAGGATGAGAGAAAAACAACATGTGACATATGTGTAGTCATTTTGCTTAGTGCATTACTGGAAGGCACTCAGATTCTTTGGTGATGAATATGGTATAAAAACCTATGTAGAATAGAAATAGAATAGAAAACACAAAATGAAAAATTAATTAAAAAACATAAAAATGTTTAATTACTTAATGGTCAGCTCAGTCTCACACTCCTTATTCAAAGAAGCTTCTTATTGCTGTCAGTGCAAGTTTTGCCTGACTAGGGAGTGGAAGGGCAGGCCCAAAGTGTGCTTTAAAGTTTCACTTCGGATGTAATAGCACAATTCCTAGAATTCATTAGCCAAAAATTACTAAAGGTGTATAAACTGGAAACATTTCTAAATGCATATACTTTCTAAATTGTAAAGATCATAATTGTTCTGTATTTTTGTTGATATAGTCATTGACTACGTACGGAGGCTGCATTGATTTATCTAAAATATGTTTCAAAATCAATTTAGTTAAATCACCGCAAACCCCTTGTGTGGACACACCTGTATCAAACTGGTTATAACTGTTTAGTTTGCATATATAAATTTATTGATGCAAGCTAAATGATATACACCAGGCTTAACATGATATATAGACACAGAGTTTTTGTCCTTGTTTAACAAAATCACTTTAAAAACTAAACTTTAGTTAAACCAGTGCAACCTATGTATAGGCTAGGCCAGATACGTACTGTTGAATTTCTTGATTTGAGGTAGAAAAGTATGGCAATACTCACTGGTGCTGCCATGGGTTTTTACTCACAGTAGATTGCAATCTTTGTAGTATTTATTGTCTCTCTCTTTTCTTACATGCACTGAGCAGTGAATTAATGTTGAAATTTGAAGTGTTATCATTAATATTTGAGTTAGTACCCTTTGAAATGAATGGAACAGATCTTGCCTCTCAGATTTAGGTTCTGTAAACACAGGCAGATATCACTCCATCTGTTAGCCTCAAAAACATGACCCTAGTGTATCTCAGCAACCATATAACAGCTAGAGACTCAGTTTATACATTATGTGGACTATACTGGCATAGGTAAGTCACCGTAACTATGCTGGCATAACCCCATAGTATAGATACAGCCTACTCTGACAGAAGGGGTTTTTCTATCAGTGTAGGAACACTGCCTCCCCGAAAGACAGTAGATAGATTAGTGGAGGCATTCTTCCAGAGACATAGCTGGAGGTTATCTACGCTGGAGGTTAGCTTGACATAGCTATGTCTGTCAGGGGTATGTCAACCTAAATTTAAGTGTACACCAGACTTTAGGGCTAGATTTATAAGAGGGATGTAGGCATCTAACCTTTAGGCAACCTGCTGCCTAGTGGAATTCACCACCTCAGCTTAGGCTCCTAAGCTCCCTACATTATGTGTTGGTGCCTAAAACAGGGATTCACAGAAGCCAGCATGCTGAATGGGGAGCTGCCTAAGCTAGCCAATAGGAAATGCTGAGGGGAGGGGTGTTGCTTAAGCCCCACCCTTCAAAGGAAGTGAGGCATCTGTCTCTGCTTGGGATGCCCGGTCATGAACCTCGGCCTGGAGTTAGGCACCTAAGCCAGGTCAATGCTTTCTAAAGAAAAAGTGAGGAGGAGCTGCTGCTACCCTGCATATATCCACTAGCTTAGTGATTAGAGCACTCATCTCGGATGCTGGAATCCTGAAGTGCTGCTTTGACCAGATTAAAAGTGAAGACTAGAACCTAAGTCTTCTACCTCCTAGGTGAAGGCTTTCCCCCTCAACCACTGGGCTATAGGAGAATATTCTTGAATGGGTCTTTTTCAGTCGCTCCTGTATCATTTTGTATGACATACTTCAATAGTCATTGGAGCAGTTAGTGAGTGAGAATGATGCCATAGCCCTGAGGTTAGGGCATGTAGCTGAAAGCTCTGGGTTTAAGTCCTTCTTAAGAATTGGGGGGAAGAGAGATTTGAACCTGGATCTTCCACAATCTTGGGTGAGTGCTCTAACTATTGGTCTACTGTATATAAGGGGTGGCCACCATCTCCTCCTGTCTGTCTGGTGTGGGTTAGGCACACTCAGAGCATGCCTACTGGATTGGGCCCAACAGCCAAGACAGGAAGGGGAACGTCTAGCTTATGAATCCTGCTTGAGCTTAGATGAGCATTAGATGCTGAGCAGCTTGGAAATGTCAGGATTTCGGTGGCTTTGCACATGCCCACTGGCAGAAATGTTGCAGGGATTTTTATTGGTGGAAACACAGTGACTTTAGGTTAGGTAATAGCTGAGTGGGGGGGTTGTGAATGCCAGTGGCACCTAAATGTTGTACTTAGGTGCCTAAAAGGGTAGTTAAGTGCTTGAGCCCCTTTTGTGAATTTAGCCCTTCATTTTTATTTTAAGTGAAAACTTAGGGCTTGTCTTCACTACCCGCCTGGATCGGCGGGTAGAAATCGATCTCTCGGGGATTGAATTATCGCGTCTCGTTGGGATGCGACAATCAATCCCTGAATCGACGCGCATACTCCACCAGCTCAGGTAGGAGTAAGCGCTGTCGACGGGGGAGCCGCGGCGGTCGATTTGCCGCCGTCCTCACAGCGGGGTAAGTCGGCTCGGATACGTTGAATTCAGCTATGCTATTCGCGTAGCTAAATTTGCATATCTTAAATCGATCCCCTCCCAGTGTAGACCTAGCCTTAGATGTGGAACAACAAGAAAGTGGTATGGAAGAGGTCCGGTACCAGCATATGCTGGCTAAATTTGAGCCCAGATGTTATTTCTTTTGTGAAGTAACTCAGTTTAGTGAACATGTAGTGAAAACTACTGTAGAAGAGGAGCATTTATGGTAATTGTTTCCATGTAGGAAAAGGCAACTGAAAGCTCTGTGTGCAGTTTAGGATATGTGCTCATATTCTTTGAAAATAAATGTATAAGGTACATATGTAAAGCACCTTCCTTTCCAAAGTGTCCCACAACACTTCACAAGCTATATACAAACTACTGAAATATGGATGTGCAAATGTACAGGGTACCTCTGGCAGTTTCTATAAGTCATTAGGTGAACGTTACAGCCTTGTAAAATGACCCCTTACAATCTTGCTGCATGCACATTACACTGCCTGCCGAGACACAATAGCTTATGTGCTAATTTTTGAAAGTAGAGGTTCTGAGCACCACCTGGGAGATGCTGAGTATGCTTAGTTAAATAGTCAGACCATGTCTACACTGCAAAATTAAAACCCGTGGCAGTGCGTCTCAGAGACAGGGTCTACAGACACCTGGTGGGTGGGTCTCAGAGCCCAACATCCAGCCTAAGCGGGAATGTTTATACTGCTATTTTTAGCACCGTAGTGCAAGCCCCTCAAGCCTAAATCTGTAGACCCAGCCTCTGAGACCCGCTGCAGTGTGGTTCTTTTTCCTTCAGTGTAGACATACCAAATGGACTATTTAAAACTATGTCTAACTCTGGTTGACTTCAACATAGTCTTTATAATGCCTTTAATGTAAATAGTATCAGTTCCTAAGTGACTTGCCTAAGACCACAGAACCAGGGTTAGAATTTGAAACTTCCTGCTTCCCAATCCTCTTGCTGTTCCGTACCCCTCTCTCTCGTATTGTAAAGATTGTCATCAATTCCAAAGCCCTTAGGTGTTGATGTAGGGACTGGAATCTTCAGATTGGCAGATATAGTGTGGAATTATGTCTATAAGGCAATTCCCTAGTGTTTCCACATACAAAGGAGCTCCAAAGCTGGAGTTATTTCTTCTAAATTCAGTTTTAATGGCTGAAAATCCACATATTAAGGCATGTAGGAATTTGTGGAGTTGGCCTGACATGTCTCCTTTCCTTCCTTAACCACTTCCCCTTTCATGAGAATCTGAGATTGCAAACATGGAAGTAATGAAGAATAAAAGGTCTTCTCTCATGCATTGTAAAATTTGGAAAAATGATCAGTTTCCTGGGGAGAATCCAAACTAGTGAATAATCTGCTACAATCATGATCTGCCTAAGATCTGTAGTGGAATTCTGAGGTAAAAATGTATATTTAAAAAGTACCTCATAAATAATGTAAATTAATTAATGTTATTAATTTGAGCCTAAAGAAGTGCAATATAGTGTTAGAATTCAGCATTTGGATACAAAACAGTGGTTTCTTTGAATAATATTTGCCTAAAATAAATCTGTAATGTAAGTTTTCTCTTTTGATGCAATGTATTGCATTAAAACATCTCTCAGTATGCCATCATAGAGAGACACTGTGTTCACTCTTTGAACAAGGCCATTTTGGCTTGGCATCATTTTTAATGGATATGAATCATATAATTCTGGAACATCTTTGTCAATAGATTGTTTCATGAGGGGAAAAAAAGGCTGATTGTCACACACCAAAAATGTTTCTTGCTGTCTTACCACATCTGGCCAAAAACGGTGGGAAAGAATTGAGGAAGGAAGGCAGTAATTTCTTCCTCATTTTCTCTTTGTGTGGCTAATAAGAGCCCGCTCCTTCTTCCATGGAAGTCAGTGGGGATTTTGCTGTGAGTTCAATGGGAGGAAAGCTGGTGTTTGCTCTGTTTAGTATGTTGTCTTATAATGAAGGATATTTGCAGAGAAACAGTAACTAGTTGCTTTTGTTTGTCTTTTTATTCTCCTTTAAGCATGGCGTTATTGCTACAGAAGATGAAGAGTATTTCATTGAGCCTTTAAGGAATATAACTGAAAATTCCAATCATTTTAGTTATGAAAGTGGTCGTCCCCATGTTATTTACAAGAAGTCTGCCATGCACCAACGACATCTCTATGATCATGCTCATTGTGGCGTCTCAGGTAAATAAGCATGAACATCAATTATGCTTTCACTCTTTTAAAAAAAGTGTCATTTAAGATTTAAAACTAAAAATACTTTTATTATTTCTAATTGGTTCCATGTACAGTACATAATAGGGTTTTATTATAGTGAGTTTAGCGTTAGGAACTCTCCTCTTGGATGATGCTCTTCACCCCTTTGAAAAGTAGCTTTGCATTTTTTTCAGATTCAAGTCAAGAATGTAGTGTCTTTGAAGGCTAAGGCACTGGGAGTAAGTCTTATTTTATTCCTGTATTGAGTACAGTGGTAGTGATGAGTGCAGGCTTCCTCACAGTGTGCTGTAAGTGTACCTCATCCCTGACTGGAAGGCATGACTTGAGTGACTAAGTATTACAGCTGAATGTTTAGTAAGTGTTGTGTATCTCATTTGAGAAAACTTGACACATGATAAATGTGTGTTGATGTTATGATTAATAATATATTTGGAAATGAGCTGGAAGTCACCAATTTTTTCTTTGATACCCTTTGATACTGATTATTGATTCAGTTTGTTAAAGTTACTCCCAAAATAGTTGCATAGGTGATTTAATTATGGGTGTCACGGGAGTGACATCATAGTTTTGGTTGAAAGATGTTTCCATTCACAGCCCAATTTTCCATCCACTTTAAACTTTCTCAAAACTCTTCTATTGTCCTCAATGTTCCCTGCTTAGACTGAGGCCAAAAGATAACTTTTTTTTGGTCAGTTTAGAGTAAATCTAACAAGCTGTTTTAGATTTATGGAACTAAAAAAATATTTTTTACATCTTTGACAAATGGTCTAACCTTTTATTGTTTATGTACATCTTAAGAATAGTTTGTTCTTAAAAGTTCACTTTTTAATCTTGGGCATTAGTCCTCAGTAAGATCTTGTGCATAGGACAGGTTTGGCAAATATTAATTTCAAAATAAAAAAAGGTAACAAATTCATTATTGACGTAATCTCTGTTGGCTGCTATTATTGGAGACTCTAACTTGCTGGCACCATCTGACTGAGATTACAACACACAGGCCCATGCCTGGAGAAGAGCTTTCCTGAGTGGTTCAGTTAATTGTGTTCTTCCTCTGTGTGGGGAACAGCACCCTTCAATTCCTCCTATTTAATGAAAGGATCATGGAATGTAGGTTACTGCTTTTTTCCCCATGATCATAGCCCCTATCAAGGCTAATTCCCCACTCTGGCACTTTGAGTGCAGAAGGTGGGGGCCCGCAAGGATTCTAAAAATTAATACTTGCCACTCCAGGCTTGTATTAAACTTCCAAGGTTACAGCTTTTCAATTACCTTGCACCACCCAAGTGCAAAACCCCTTTGAGAGCCCAGGAAGGCGCACTTGGGAATTCCTTCCTGTGGGATACCCTCAAGCCCTTTCACCCCCCCCCCTCCAGAAAAGAAAAGAAAAGGAGAAAGAACAAAAAGGAAATCAGCTGTTGCCACCAGCTAATTAAACATGTGCACAAACCTCTTAAGACACAGAAATCCAATCATGTTCTTAAAAAAGATTAATTTTATTTTTTAAAAAAAGAAGAACATACATCTGGAAACTCAGGCTATTGCTAGATTTTAAAAGAGTAACTACAAGGATTAAGCATCAAGAATAGTTTTCTTGAGGTTCAGCTTAAAGATTACAAGCAAAACAAAAGCATTTGGGGTTAGCACAGAGGAGTCCACAAGTCATAAAGAAATAAAAAGGATAAACCTAATTGCGTCTTCCTAGACAATTCCTAATCTACTTACATATCTGGGGTTTTAGATGAGTTGTCTCTAGGTATGATACTGATGATTGTTCATATCTGGCCCAAAGCTTCTTACAGCATAACTGCAGCCCTGTCTGCCTCTCCCCGGAGAACAACAGACAGACAAAAGGGGAGTCTTGTTTCAATTTTAAAAAGTTCTAGTCTTCCCATTGGCTCTTTTGGCCAGGTGCCCACTCACTTCCTTTTACCTATGCATAGCAGTGAGACTTTTTAACCTTAATAGCTGTTCTCTAATTGCTTTACCTATAAAGAGGGATTTTATAGGTACTGGCTGGCTGGGTGTCCATAAAAAGGAGCTATCCCCCCCCCCTCATTTATCACAGCCCCAGAGCAGGGAAGACATATCAGCCCCTCCTAAGGACACCATGTGGGGAGAAAGATAATTAACTATGCCCAAAAAGTCATCCGTGACAACTGAGGGGAGGTGAGATGACCAGCCTGGTGTGGGCATATTCTAAGAGGTGATCATCACACACACAGTTCATCAAATGTGTATATTGAGAGCTTGCAGTCCTATAAAATGTGTCCCTGCACTCTCTTAAAAGTGTCCATATACTACCCACAGCTTTCAAATCCTTCCCACCCTCAAGTCCCTCCCATTCATAACCCCCCCCCCCCCCCCCCCAAATGCAAACTATCACCTGCAACAGATTCCTCTCTACTTCCCCTCACTGCCTTGGAACCTCCTTGTCCCAAGTTCCTTCTCCTGACATACTCTCCACATTTCTCTCAGATGTGTGGGTCTTCCACCCTGCCCACTCCACTCCTCCTCCCGCCCACAACTGTCAAACCCTCTTCTGTCAGCTGCCACATCTTTTTTGACATTCTCATCTCAGCTACCAAAATCCTACCAATGCCTTCCATGATAATTATTAAACCTCTGACCCCCAATTGTCAAACCCCCAAACTTCCTCAGGACCTCTGACAAGATCTCTTTTTTTCATCCTTTCTCAACTTCCAAATCCCAGGACCAGGTCTACACTAGAAACGTTTGCTGATATGGTAATATTGGTTAGGGTGTGATTTTTTTTTTTTTTAAAAGATACCACTTTGATACCAGCAAAAGCTGTAGTGTAGATGCAGTTACATCAGCAAAAAAGTGCTTTATTATATATTCAAGGAGCTATACTGGTAAAAGCACTCTGGCTGATATAAACTGTGTCTACGCTAGGAGGGTTTGCCAGTATAGCTATATTTCTAATATAGACTAGACCAAAGTACCAAAGGACACCTAGCCTGTATCAGCAAAATAGACAGGTATAGAGGGATCTCCAGTCGATAGCATTTGGTGGACATGGGGAAGATGATATTTCTGACTCATCTGAGAAAGATGTTCAGATATGTGGCATGAAGTGGGCAGATTGTCTGGAGGATGTTCATTTTCCTTCGAGTGATTGTGTACATATACTTTCCACCGGATGTGCATGTGCGCCCAGTGCAGTGGAGTGGGAAATTTTTGTACCCCTACATAGCACATACATCCCTATTGTCCTTGTGCTCTTAGGTGAGGGCATAAAAGGGGCGTGTCCACCACCTCCTTCTCACTTCCTTCTTACCGCCTGTGGCGAGAGTTGGAGTCCCCTGTAACATTAGCTTTGGTTAGCCAGCTCTGGAAAATGTTCTCTGTATGGTTAGTATAGTTGTAGTTAGTATTTAGGATAGGATAAGAGAGTTAGTTTAGGTGTAGTTTTATTAGTACCTGAAGGATTTATTATGAAAAAATCCCCAGGTTTTAAACAGTGTGCCATGAGCAGGGCTGTTATCTCTGTCACAGATGGGCACAAGAGCCGTCTGTTTTTTCTGGGTGAGGGACAGAAAGGGGACAAATGCCCTATTTGTACTTTCTTTTGCACCCACACTAAGAAGCAGAGTGACTATCATCTTAAAAGTTCACCTCATGAAGGAGGTGATAAGACCTGCAACTGAACCAAGCCCCAATCATGACCCAGAGGATTCTGAATCAACTCAGAGTGCTACTCCAGCTACTTCTGACTCCAAACGTAAGTCTGGGAGTAAACATCATCCTTCCCCTTCTCTATTTGAATTGAAGTGTTCTAAGCATTCAGGCTCTGACATTACCTCTAAATCTCAGACTGCTCTCTGAAAATCGTCTGGTAAATCCTCTGGTGCTGGTTCAAGGCCTCGTAAATGGAAGCGCTCACTTCTTCTGTCAAGCATGGCATCATCAAAAAGTAAATGCAATTTTGGATTGCATTAATAGAGGCATAACATGCAAGTCACAAGAGGTGATAGTACTGCTCTACTCTGTGCTGGTGAGGCCTCAGCTTGAGTACTGTGTCCAATTTTGGTCACCAATGTATAGAAAGGAAGTGGAGAAACTGGAAAGTATCCAGAGGCAAGCAACAAAGATGATCAAAGGGATGGAATGCACGCCATATGAGCAAAGGCTGAAGGAACTGAGTATGTTTAGTTTGGAAAAGAGGAGATTAAGCGGGGACATGATAGCAGTCTTCAAATACTTGAAAAGCTGCTATAAAAAAGATGGAGAGAAGTTGTTCTCTCTTGCCAGAGGGCAGGACAAGAGTCAATGGGTTCAAATTACAGCATAGCAGATTTAGAGTAAATCTCAGGAAAAACTTCCTAACTGTAAGAACAATAGGACAATGGACCAGACTGCTTAGGGAAGTTGTGGAAGCTCCTTCACTGGAGGTTTAAAAAAAAAAAAAGGCTGGCTAGCCATCTGTCTTGGATGGTTTAGAAACAACAAATCCTGCATTTTGGCAAGGGTTAGACCAGGGAGTGGGCAAACTACAGCCCGGGGGCCACATCCGGCCCTCCAGGCGTTTTAATCCAGCCCTCGAGCTCCCTCCGGGGTCCGGGGCTTGCCCTGCTCTAGTGCTCAAGCAGGGTCGGGGGCTTGCCCCGCTCTGCGCGGCTCCTGGAAGCAGTGGCATGTCCCTCTCTGGCTCCTATGTGTAGGAGCAGCCAGGGGTCTCTGCACGCTACCCCCGCCCCAAGCGCCACTCCCGCAGCTCCCATTGACCGGGAACCGCAGCCAATGGGAGCTGCAGGGGCAGCGCCTGTGGATGGGGCAGCGCGCAGAGCTGCCTGGCCACGCTTCCACTTAGGAGCTGGATGGGGGACATCCTGCTGCTTCTGGGAGCTGCTTGAGATAAGCACCGCCCGGAGCTTGCACCCCTGACCCTCTCCCATGCCCCAACCTCCAGTTCCAGCTCTGATACCCCTCCTGCCCTCGAACCCCTC